ATCCATTTTAGGCATCAGGTAGGTTAATCATGGCTCTCCACAACTTCCTATACTTTGTAGATCTAAGCAATGTTTATCCCCTTACTACCATTCCAAATTCCTAATCTGCTATCCATTTACTCATTAGGTGGGTTAAGCATGGCTCTCCACAACTTCCTTTACTTTCTAGATCTAAGTAATTTTTGTCCCCTTACTACCATTCCAAGCTCCTAATCTGCTATCCATATACTCGTCAGGTAGGTTAATTATGGCTCTCCACAACTTCCTATATTTTGTAGATCTAAGCAATTTTTGTCCCCTTACTACAATTCCAAGTTCCTAATCTGCTATCCATTTACTCATCAGGTGGGTTAAGCATGGCTCTCCATAACTTCCTATAGATCTAAGTCCCTTTACTAATATCTCTCCGTGCGGACTTTTAAGCTAGCTCCCGTGGAGGGCTAATTGCGCCTCAGCATAGAAAACAACAATGACAATTTTGAAGAAATGAACTTGAATTCCACCATTCACATCATGGAACCTCAAAACCCCACTTCAACTCTGATTCGGGCTATAAATCCAATTTTCGCCACAAGACCGATTTGGGCTGAAAATCCGATTTGGGCGAAACTCCTATTTGGGCCGAAATTCTAATTCAGGTCGAAAATTGAGTTCTTCAAATCACAAACTCCATAGAACTTCAATTGTGTTGAGGTCTTCAAATCAATAAACTCTGCGGAACTTCAAAACCTCACTTCACAAAACCTCTCATTTTAACTCTGGTTCCTTGGCATTTTGAAGAAATAAAATTGATTTCCTCAATGCATAAAGTTTTGGAAATATAAATTAAAAAACTGTTGGGGACGTGCAGGATTGTTAATTATTTCAGAAGGATTTTTTTTAGTGTTGCGTGTCTTACTGCGTCCCGAACAAATAAACAAACTTTCAAATACAATTAAAAAACGAGACATATACAATTTAGAAAACAATGCAACATTTATATACAATTTAACAATATACAGATTGGGTAATCAGTGTGTGTCGTGTGTACAAAATGTGTGTGTAATTGTTTGATTCGTGAATGTCTCTTTGTTGATCTTGTTCGTTAGTTCGCTGTCTTTTTGTTTGTGTCAAATATCGTAATTATGAATAATAAGAGTTTTTGGAAAGAGTTTTTTAGAGTGGTCTACCCTTAAACGTATTTGATTTTTACTTATCTTTTAGTAGATAATTTAATTCACTGTACATAAGCAAAGTTGAGAAAAGTATTCACAGAGTTGATTGATGAATGATCGAATGTGAGTCAGTTAATTGTCTTCGTGCGCGGCAAAATTGTGGTTTGTAGCGGCGTGGAGTATATTGGAAGTTACTCTGCGAATTCGTGAGACTGACTGGCGTGGAGTTGGTAATTGTCTTTTTAACGTCTGGTCAGCAATGACTAAGATGGGAGTCGGTGAATGTTACATCTTGAAACTTGGTAATTACTGCTGCTATTTTCTCTCTGAACGTTCTCTGTTTATATATCCACCGGATGGCTCACTTGAATTTGGCGCAATTTCTGTTTCTGCACGTGAACTTCAAGTGATTGACCAATGGGGTTGTTTGCTTCTTTTCTTGTCGTTTTTATTGGTTGAGGTTTTTTAGGTACGTAGGCGTACGATATGGACTCTGCTTTTGTTAGGGTTAGAAGGTAAGGAAAATTGGACGAGTCCACAAAACTATTTAAGACTTTTAATTTTTAACTGTTCCCTCCTCATCCGAACACAAATCCCAATGCTGGATACTCAAGCAACAGATGAAGGAGAGATTTTGAATTCCGGTATCATCATGATTCGAAAAACGTATAATATGTAGAGCAAGTTTGGCCCGAGTTAGAGGGGTTTCAGACACACGGACAGACAGACAAAATTTACCGTTTATTTATTAATGATTATTAATAAGACTGAATGGACACCAACTTAAAATTTAATTAACTTATAATTTACGGAGAAAGATAAAAATTCATAATTTAAAATGTTTATCAAATCATTTATTTACAGCAAAGTTTAAGTATGTATGCTTATTAAATTCCTCGAGTGTATATCGAACTGCGAAACCTACAAGGAATTCTGAAGTGAACCCTTTATTTAATCTACAAGGGGTAAAGTGTTCTCCTTCCCCGTGTTCATGCCTAGAGTTATACTCTTGTTCTTATTTTATTTAATACTGTTCAGTTATTGTTCGGCCGTTTTCACTACGAGCAAATATACACTGTCCGACCAAAGGATTGAACTCACAACTACTATTCACAAGTGAATTCACTAACCAACGCTTTTATCCACGTAGGATAATTTTCTGTAGTGAACTTAGAGCCTTACTGCTGCTGGCTGTCATGAAGATTTGCTGTTATTTTTATTTATTTATTAGCGGCTCCCATATTGTATTCATTTCTATACTATGCCTACTAAGGTTTTATTAAGGTCCTCATAGCCTAGCCTAAGCGCTGATTCTTTCAATGTTTTTCCTTCAGTGTTTTCACTTCATCCCACAGGGGCTGATGACTACCCCTTTCGCTCTATACATGATCAGCCATGTCCAATTTAATTGCCTCACCTCTCATTACGGCTTTCTGATGTTCTTCCAGTCTTACTTTTAGGGGCCGACCTGTTTCACCTTTACACTCTCTGCCATATCTGTAAGGAAACGAGTACACTCAATTTTTGGTCATATTCTTCCCGTGTTCTTTTTTTTTTTTTTTTTTTTTTAGCGTTTCACCCCAAGCAAGGCGGGAAGCCACTGGGACGCAAGAGGTTACAGAAGATTTGGAGCAAGATCAGATAGGAGTGATAGAAGAAAGAATGAGGGTAGTGGATAGATCAAGGCAACTGGAAATGTCGATTGACATTACATTTGAAAAGTTAGAAATTATAGCTCTCAGGGAAACTAGAACAGAGAAGGGAGTTCCACAGGCGAGAGGTGCGAGACATGAAGCTATTGGAGTAGAAGAGACGGCTACATTTAGTAGTTTCGACAGTGAAAGGGTGAGATCGGGATGCCATCATCGTAGGGCGCTTGAATTCATGAAGTCTGGGAACCAGCGAATGCAGCTCCTAGGAGCAATTGCCATGAAAGTATTTGTAAAACAGACAGAGAGAGATGACGGTGCGTCTGTGAGAGAGCGACTGTAGACGAGATGTTATGGTAGATATTTTTTTCCGTAGAGCTGAAATGCTTCTGAATGTTGTTCTGGTGTTTTATGGACCGCAGACCTTCTGAATCTTTTCTAATAAGCCCTTGACGAAAGTAGACAGACCATGACAATTTTCTGGTTATACTGCCTGTATCTTCTGTTCCTACCTGTTAACGCTGATATCATCGGAAGTGTATGTTTCATGCTGGTCATTTCTTGATGGTATGTGCCTGGTTCGCAACTGATGTTTTTTGCCCGGTGTTGTAGGCATGAAGCCACCCTTTCTTCCCACTGCATGGAGGACAGGAATTAAAGAAGGTATTTTCCGGTGAAGGTTGCCTTGTGATATATGGATATTTGGACCACATGCTCTGTGCGAGTGATTAGTACACCAACGAAGAATAGCTGATTATTTCTTTCTTCTTCCAATATAAACTGGATGGATGGTCTTATTGCACTATTTGTACAGCTACATTATCGAGTCTGTCCGAAGCACGTCGGACCGGGCAACGGTTTCTCTTGCAAAAAGAGGCGCAGGTTGGAATCCTGCTGGTGGTCGAGAGCAGACATTTTTCTTCTTTAATAAGATTTCTCAAATACTCAAGCCGGTAGATGAAAATAAATAAAGAAACCAAGCATATACACAACTATGGGTATCCAGTAAAAAGAGGATCCCCAGATGAGTCTCGTCTCGGGAAACAGCTATCCGACCCCGTTTTATACGGGGTTTAAGGGGAATTTTTGGACGAACCTACGGGATAGCCCACATTAAATTCGGCATTGTGCCACATCTGACCGCGTGGGCGGTTGGTAGATATCCTGCATTTGGAGATTCGTCTCCAGATTCGTTTGAAGATTCTCTCCGTCCAGGGGCAGAGAGTTTCTCTGCCCCTGGACGGAGAGAATCTTCAAACGAATCTATGCCGAAGGGCAGAGTCTTGTCTCAGGAAACAGCTACCCGACTCCGTTTTATACGAGGACTACGGGAAATTTTTAGCCAAGCCTACGGGCTCGGATACTCCACATTAAATTCGGCCTTGTGCCACATCTGATCGCGTGGGGTGGTTGGTAGATATCTTGCAGTTGGATATTCATTGTAGAATTTACTTGAGTCACTTCTAGCATTCTATTCAGTAACACTCTCTAGGTTACAACATTTCGGTAACGAGAATTAGCCAAAATTACAGCACTTACTAAGACATAGTGGGTGGAATGTCGAACTGAACCCTTTATTTCGCTCACTGGGGTAGACTGTTCTAGTCATCTATCAGTTATCACCTGTTAATTAAAATTAACATGAGATAACTGATAGCTGACATCCATCAAACATGGCACGTGGAACTAGAACAGTCTACCCCGGTGAACGAAATAAAGGGTTCAGTTCGACATTCCAACCACCTGAAGAAGGCCGGAGCGTACAACGGCCGAAACGTTGTGATAAATATGGCGACAAAGATGAGGACAATAGTCCGAATAATGTAAATAATGTACATAATACCTCATCTCAGAAATATAGACAGATACTGAAAGGCCGAAACGTTGTAATAAATATGGCGACAAAGATGAGGACAATAGTCCGAATAATGTAAATAATGTACATAATACCTCATCTCAGAAATATAGACAGATACTGAAAGGCCGAAACTTTGTAATAAATATGGCGACAAAGATGAGGACAATAGTCCGAATAATGTAAATAATATACATAATACCTCATCTCAGAAATATAGACATTACTAAGACATGTTAAACGGTTCATAATTAAATAAATCCACAACATTGCTCGATTCACCTCTACAAATGCAAGCGGGTTGGCAGGATGATTGAATCTGGGTGGCTTCAATTTTGTCAC